CTTTTGCAGTACAAACATTTTTCATTTTGATGAAGCCAAATGTATCTATTTTTTCTTTTATGAATTGTGCTTTTGTATCTAAGAACTCTTTTTCTCATACACGGACACAAAAATTCCCATTGGTATTATCCATTTTGTTTATCTTCTTGATTTGTAAGAGTTCTTTATATATCTTATAATCAACCTCTTTGTCAGATATATATTTTGCAGTATTTTATTAGTTTAGATCTAGATATATATTTTGCAATATTTTACTAGTTTCTGGAGTAACTTTCTATTAATTAACAAACTTTATTTTTAAAATCAGTTTTAGGTTTATAGGAAGATTTCACAGAAAGTACAGAGTTTCTATATACTTTCTGTCCTCAAACATACACACCCTCCCCAACTACCAACATTCCATATTACAGTGGTACATTTGTTACAGTTGATAAACCTACATTGACACATCATTATCACCCAAAGTTCACAGTCTGTATTAAGGTTCACTCTTGGTGTTGTAAATTCTGTTAACTTTGAAAAATATATAATGACATGTATCCACAACTGTAGTATCATACAGAGTAGTTTCACTGCTCTAAAATTTGTTTGGCCTAGTCATCCCTCATTCTACCCTAACCCTTAGAAACCACAGAGCCTTTTACTGTCTCTATAGTTTTGCCTTTTTCAGACTATCATGTAGTTGGAATCATATAGTATGTAGCCTTCTAAGATTGGTGTCTTTCAATTAGTAATATGCATTTAAGTTTCCTCAACATCTTTTTGTGATGGCTTATTCTTTTAGCACTGAATAATAGTCCATTTTCTGGATGTACCACATGTTATCCATTCACCTACTAAAGGACATCTTGGTTGTTTTTTAAGTATTGGAAGTTTTGAATAAAGCTGCTATATGCATTTGTGTGCAGGTTTTTGTATGAACATAAGCTTTCATTTTATTTGGGTAAACACCAAGGAATATGATTTCTGAGTAGTATGATAAGAATATGTTTAGTTTTGTAGGAAACTGCCAGAATGTTCTTCAAAGTGGCTATAATATTTTTGCATTCCCCCAGCAATGAATGAGAGTTCCTGTTGCTCCACATCCTTGTCAGCATTTGGTGTTGCCAGTGTTTTAGATTTTGGCCATTCTAACAGGTGTGAGGTAGTATCTCTTCGTTTTAATTTGCAGTTCTCTGAGATTCCTCATCTCTGGTTTGGTGTCTGACATTAATTTGGGGAAATTCTCATTCACTGTTGCTTCATTTATTGCTTATTTTCCTTTCTCTCTTTTTCCTCCTTCTGGTATTTTCATCATGTGTATTTACACCTTTTAAACTTAACCCCAGAGTTCTTGGATATCTGTTCTGTTTCAGTATTTTTTCTCTTTCTTTTCAGTGTTGGAAGTTTCTCTTGTCACAGCCTCAAGTGCAGAGATTCCTCAGCTGTGTCCAGTTTACTGATAAGCACATCAAAGGCATTCTTCATTTCTATTACAGTGTTTTTGATCTTTAGCATTTCTTTTTTATTCTTTCTTAGAATATTCATCTCTCTGTTTTCATTATCCATCTGGATGTTGTCTATTTTTTCTATTAAAGCCCTTAACACATTTCTTATAGTCTTTTAAAATTCCTGGTCTGGTAATTCCAGCATTCCTGCCATATCTGACTCTAATTCTGATGCTTGTTTAGTCTCATCAAACTGTTTCTTGCCTTTTAGTTTTCCTTCTAATTTTTTGTTGGAAGGTAAACATGATGTACTGGGTAAAGGGAAACATAGTAAATAGGCCTTTAGGAATGTAGTGATAAGGTGTAAGGGGAGAGGAGTGTTCCCTAGTCCCAGAATTAGGTCTCAGTCTTTTGGTGCACCTGTGCCACTTGACGGAACTTAACCAGTGCTTCCAGTTTTTTCCCCATCGCTAGGTGTGACGGGATGGCTTAGAGGGCTGAGCTGGGTATTTTCTTTCCTCTATGTCATTAGGCTCTAATAAAACCCCAGCAGGTTATGATCTATCTACTTGAAGAGAAAATACTCCTAACCTCAGGTGATCCACCCACCTTGGCCTCCCAAAGTACTGGGATTACAAGCGTGAGCCACCGCACCTGGCGGTATTTAGATTTTTTAGGCTCTTGTCTTATTTAGATTGCCACCCTCCAGCTTTCATTTAACTTATCTGTGTTAATAAGATTCCTTGACACTTCTAGTCTCCCAGCCATCGCCTCACACTATTCAGTTACTGTGTTCTCCCTAAAATTGTTGAGTTTCTTTGTTCATTTTTTCCAGAAACCATTCAACATGGCACATACCTGTTACAATATCTAAAAAAATCATTTAAATACTTCTCTATTAAGTATAGAAATGGTTGGTTTTAGATGTAAGGGAACAGAAGAGATATCCTCTGAGAAAGGTTATAAAGTACAGTGGGCCAGGCGTGGTGGCTAATGCCTGTAATCCCAGCACTTTGGGAGGCCGAGGTGGGCGGATCACAAGGTCAGGGGTTCGAGACCAGCCTGGCCAATATAATGAAACCCCTTCTCTACTAAAAATACCAAAAAATTAGCCGGGCGTGGTGGTGGGTGCCTGTAATCCCAGCTACTTGGGAGGCTGAGGCAAAGAGAATCACTTGAACCTGGGAGGCAGAGGTTGCAGTGAGCCGACATGGTGCCACTGCACTCCAGCCCGGGTGACAGTGTAAGACTCTGTCTCAGGGAAAAAAAAAAAAAAAGTAGAGTGGCCGGGCGCGGTGGCTCATGCCTGGAATCCCAGCTCTTTGGGAGTCTGAGGCAGGTGGATCACCTGGGGTCAGGAGGTTGAGACCAACCTGGCCAACATAGTGAAACCCCGTCTCTACTAAAAATACAAAAATTAGCTGAGTTTGGCAGCATGCACCTGTAATCCCAGATACTCAGGAGGCTGAGGCAGGAGAATCACCTAAACCTGGGAGGCAGAGGTTGCAGTGAGCCGAGATCGTGCCATTGCACTCCATCCTGGGTGACAGAGTGAGACTCCATCTCAAAAAAAAAAAAAAAAAAAGAAAAGAAAAAAAGAGTAGAGTGAGCATCCAGTAGGTGGCTGAATAACAGTAAAACTCAGCTGTGTAAACACACATCTCTTTGCACAGGAGGCAGTGAACAACAGGGTTGGAAACATCTCTGTTTAATTGGATAGCCATTTAAAGGATAAGTAGGCAAAACAAGGACCTTTTCATTTTATACATTTGGTTGAGCTACCTTGGAGTTACTTTTGTTCTGATCTGTAAAGGAAGTAAGCTAGGAAAGAGTGCATTTAATCACTGTAATAAGGTGAGAGAGATTAGAGCTAGTTTGTAATTGTTAACAAAAATATAAAAATTAAGTGATTGTCCTGATATTCAGTTGTCCTATACGTGGCTTATCTGTCATTCATCATCATAATTTCCTTTAAGACAATGATTAATTTATTGTACAGTCAATTGTTTAATGCCTGCTATATGCTAGTGGGTAGTTATTCACTGTTGAATGAAATAAGGATTACATCTTCCTTTGGGAAGGTTTCGGGATCAGAAAATCAACAAAAGAGCAAAAAGAAAAATCAGTGGATATGCATTTGAAAATTGTGAAATGAAGAAATGAAACATGATGCTGGAATTGAGAATAAAGGACATAGACTGCCTTACAGTCAGTAGGGCAAGCCTTTCTGTGTAAGAGACATTTAACCAACCATTAAGAATGAGAAGGAGTTGGCCTTTCACAGAGCCCAGCACAGATTATTTTTAGGAGATGAAAAATCCCATAGAAAACTATATGAGATGGGAAATGCTATGACACAATCGAGGAGCTGAATAGAAGCAAATGTCATAATAAGAGGGGGTAAGGAGGACAATGTCTTTGAAAGAGGGCTTTAGGTAACCAAAGACCGTATTATATTATATGGTAACATGTTTGGATTTTATTCTAAGAGTAAAGAAAAACTGTTAAAATTGTTAAGTGGAGATTCTCAAACTTTGATCTATATCAGAATCATCTAGTGGAGTTATTAAAAATTCAGATACCAAATTACTCCTATAGATTTGGTTCACTTGTGTGGTAAGTAAATAGCAGTATTTATGATAAATTCCCAGATGATTCTCATCCACAATAAAATTTTAGAACCACTGATGTAAATAAACTATTTGCCATATCACCACAATCTTATATAATCTCTATTTTTTTTTTTTTTTTGAGATGGAGTTTAGCTCTTGTAGCCCAGGCTGGAGTGCAATGGCGTGATCTCAGTTTACTGCAACCTCCGCCTCCCGGGTTCAAGTAATTCTCCTGCCTCAGCCTCCTGAGTAGCTGGGATTACAGGCGCCTGCCACAACGATTGGCTAATTTTGTATTTTTTTAGTGGAGATGGGGTTTCACCATGTTGGGCAGGCTAGTCTTGAACTCCTGACCTCAGATGATCCACCTGCCTCGGCCTTCCAAAGTGCTGGGATTACAGGCATGAGCCACCGCGTCCGGCTATAATCTCTCATTTTCGAAGCTCATGTTGCCTAATTTCAAATTACATAACTTTATTGAAATATTCTTTAAGCCATTGACTTCCAGTAAGAACTGTTTTCACTTTGTTTCCAATTTTGAAAATGTAAACTTTATGTTATGCTGGCTACAGGAAAATAATTTTTGTTTGCTTTTATGTTTTCTTTCAGGTTTGTTATCCAGGCATAAGACCAAGAAATTACCTTCAGAAAAGGACATTCATGAAATCAGTTTATCCAAAGGGAGTATAATAGAAAAAAGTAAAACTCTTCGTCTGAAAGGATCCATTTTGAGAAATGAGTGGCAGAACAAAAGTGAGTTTGAGGGTCAGCAGGGACTTGAAGAAAGATCTATCAGTCAAAAGAAAATCGTCTCTAAAAAAATGTCAACTGGTAGAAAACATCCCTCTTTTACTCTGAATCAGAGAATTCATAATAGTGAGAAAAGTTGTGACTCAAACTTGGTTCAACATGGGAAAACAGATTCTGATGTGAAACGTGATTGTAAAGAATGTGGGAGTACCTTGAATAAGGTCTGCCAGCTTACTCTCCATCAGAAAATTCATACTGGTGAAAAATCCTGTAAATGTGAGAAATGTGGGAAAGTTTTTAGTCATAGCTATCAACTTACTCTGCATCAGAGATTTCATACTGGTGAGAAACCCTATGAATGTCAAGAATGTGGGAAGAACTTTCTTCTTTACTCACAACTTAATCGACATCAGAAAATTCACACTGGTAAAAAACCCTATATGTGTAAGAAATGTGATAAGGGCTTTTTTAGTAGATTAGAACTTACTCAACATAAAAGAATTCATACTGGTGAGAAATCTTATGAATGTAAAGAATGTGGAAAAGTTTTTCAACTTGTTTTCTACCTTAAAGAACACGAGAGAATTCATACAGGTAAGAAACCCTATGAATGTAAGGAGTGTGGGAAAGCTTTTAGTGTAGGTGGACAACTTACCCGTCATCAGAAAATTCATACTGGTGTAAAACCCTACGAATGTAAGGAATGTGGAAAGACCTTTGGACTTAGTTTTTACCTTACTGAACACAGAAGAACTCATGCAGGTAAGAAACCTTATGAATGTAAGGAGTGTGGGAAATCATTTAATATGCGTGGACCGCTTAATCGGCATAAAACAATTCATACTGGTATAAAACCTTTTGAATGTAAGGTGTGTGAGAAGGCTTTTAGTTATAGTGGTGACCTCAGAGTACATTCTAGAATTCATACTGGAGAGAAACCGTATGAATGTAAGGAATGCGGGAAAGCCTTTATGCTTCGTTCAGTCCTTACTGAACATCAGAGACTTCATACTGGTGTGAAGCCCTATGAATGTAAGGAATGTGGGAAGACGTTTAGAGTGCGCTCTCAAATTAGTCTGCATAAGAAAATTCATACTGATGTGAAGCCCTACAAATGTGTACGATGTGGGAAGACCTTTAGATTTGGTTTCTACCTTACTGAACACCAGAGAATTCACACTGGTGAAAAGCCCTATAAATGTAAAGAATGTGGAAAGGCCTTTATTCGTAGAGGGAATCTTAAAGAACATCTGAAAATTCATTCTGGTTTAAAACCCTATGACTGTAAAGAATGTGGGAAGTCCTTTAGTCGGCGTGGGCAGTTCACTGAACATCAGAAAATTCATACGGGTGTAAAACCATACAAATGTAAAGAATGTGGGAAGGCCTTTAGTCGTAGTGTAGACCTTAGAATACATCAAAGAATTCATACTGGTGAGAAACCCTATGAGTGTAAACAATGTGGGAAGGCCTTTAGACTTAATTCACACCTTACTGAACATCAGAGAATTCACACTGGTGAGAAACCCTATGAGTGTAAGGTATGTAGAAAGGCCTTTAGACAATATTCACATCTTTATCAACATCAGAAAACTCATAATGTAATTTAATATAAGAAAGGGTTTCCATGTCATGCTCTATTTATAGAATATCAAAATATTTATGGCCAGAAAGAAGTTCTGTCAATGTGTTGATCTTTTTTTAGACATATTAACTTAATAAATGTATGAGTCTTAAATATCTCTTAGTTCTCATTAAATTTAGGAAAATTCACACTAGAAAATAAAGCTGTTAATGTAACAATTGTGGAAAAGTGTTCTAGCAACAGCATATACTTATCATCATTGCCTTTCCACTACTCTACTATCTGTGTGATATTAGACAAAATATTTGCTTCTTGGTACCTCAGCTGTAAAATGAAACACACCTAAAAGTGTGGTTAATTGTTTCCAACATGTATAATACAGCAACAACTATCTGGCCCATACTGCTTTGGATTAACATTGGATATTACTGTTTTTATTATCATCAACATTATTGTTAGTGGATTTCTTAACAGGAAGACACAGTGGAGATGACAAATTTGGAAAAGTCACTCATCACGTATATTTCATGAAGGACTTCTTTGATAAAATCTGTGTTATGAGCTGAATGTTTGTGTTCCCGTAACAATTCCTATGTTGAAACATGAATCCCAAGGTGATGGTATTTGAAGGTAGGGCCTTTAGGAGGAAATCAGGTCATGAGGGTGGAGCCTTCATGAATGGGATCGCTGCCTTTATTAGAGGAAGCCAAAGAGCCAGCTAGCTCTTTCAACCGCATGAGGATACAGCAGGAAGTCAGCAGTCTACAGTGCCAAAGAGGGAGGGCCTTTCCCAGAACCCAAGCATGCTGGCACCCTGACCTTGGACTTGCAGCCTCCAAAACTGTGAGAAATAAATTTCAGTTGTTTATAAGCCACTGAGTCTATGGTGTTTAGTTATGCAGCCCAGAACAATGAAGGCACTCCATTAGAATATAAAGAAAATGTAAAGATCTGAATTCAGACCTCATTGCTTAAGTTCTACCAGAAAATTAAAGATGAAGAGAAACCCTAAGGATGTAGTGAGTGGGAGAACCTTAGAATATAGCTGTTGAAGCATCAGAGAGAGGTGTGAGGGGATTTACCCACAATAATATAGAAATTAAATGGATGGAAAAAAGAAAGCTGTCTGGCCGGGCACCGTGGCTCACGCCTGTAATCCCAGCACTTTAGGAGGCTGAGGTGGGCAGATTACCTGAGGTCAGGAGTTCGAGACCAGCCTGGCCAACATACAGAAACCCCATCTCTACTAAAAATACAAAAATTAGCCAGGCATGGTGGCAGGCACCTGTAATCCCAGCTACTCAGGAGGCTGAGCTAAGAGAATCACTTGAATCCGGGAGGTGGAGGTTGCAGTGAGCTGAGATCGCGCCATTGCACTCCAGCCTGGGGGACAAGAGTGAGACTTTGTCTCAAAAAAAAAAAAAAAAAAAAAAATCGAAAAAAGAAAGCTGTGTATTTAGAAATTTTTTCCTAATTTTATTATGAAAATGCCCTGAGACACAGAAACATAGAATGCATTCTATAATGAACACCCATTTTACCCTCCACCTAGATTTGAAAATGTATACTTTGCTTTGTTTTTATATAAAATAAAAATTTTTTGCTATACCATTTGAGAGTTACAAACATCATATCATTTTGCCCCTAAATCAGTTTGTATCTCCTAAAAGTAATGTTAATGCATATAACCAAAGTAGTCAAATCACACCCTAAAAATTAACAATTCCATGGAATCTTATAATATCCATTCCATGTTCAAATTTCCATAATTGTTCCAAGAATATATTTCATGGATATTTAACAAGGATTTACTCTCAGGATCACACATTGTAACATTTTGGTGGTTCTGTCACTTTGGTTTTTTTTTTTTTGAGAGGGACTTTCGGACTCTTGCTCTGTCGCCAGGCTGGAATGCAGTGGCGTGACCTCGGCACACTGCAACCTCCACCTCCTGGGTTCAAGCAATTACCTTGCCTCAGCCTCCAAAGTAGCTGAGACTACAGGTGCACACCACCACATCCAGCTAATTTTTGTATTTTTAGTAGAGACGGGGTTTCACCATGTTGGCCAGGATGGTCTCGATCTCTTCACCTTATGATCCACCCACCTTGACCTCCCAAAGTGCTGGGATTACTTGTGTGAGCCACTGTGCCCAGCCTGTTCTGTCACTTTAAACTGAACAGCCCCTCATCTTTATTTCATTTTATTGGCTTTTAGAAGAGTCCCTCACAGTTGTCTTAGAATATCCTGGATTCTGGGTTTGTCTATTTTATTTCTGCATAATGTTGTTCCTCTTTTTCCTCTGTCTCCAAACTGAAACTTAAATAGCAGCTTGATTTGCTTCTGGTCAAACATTTTTAGGAAGAACACTTCCTAGGTATGTAATACGTTCTGTACACACAGGAGGCATATAATGGCAGGTTGTTCTTTTATTAGTGATGCTACATTTGATCACTGGTTAAGGTAGTGACTGCCAGATCTCTCCATTGTAAAGGTATGTTATTTTCTTTGCAATTAGTAAGTAATTGGGTGATAATTTGCACCTCCTTTTGCAAATTTACAATCATCTACATGTATAATACAAGTCATGGATTAAACTGGAAATCAAAAGTTAGATATTGATTTAACAGAAAGCAATGATATTGAAATGCCTGCATATTGAAATCTGTAGGATGTGGCCAAGGCTCTACACAGTGGTAAATTAGCATCCCTTAATGCATACAGAAAACGACGATTTGGGGATAGAACATTTTGTTCTCTGTATCCTCAACACTACTGTGATGCCTTTTGCATAGTAGGCACTTGATAAAACTCGAGAAAAAAATAAGTATTCAACTCAAGAAACAAAAAGAGGTACCAAATAAAGCAGATGCTAAAAGAAGGAACTAATTAATGCAATTAAAATTAGAAATTAAGTAATAAGAATAAGCAGATGATGGATTTATTCAATTTTTCCAAATCCAGTAAAAAAAAAAAAATGACACAGTTAAAAGCATCGTGAATTTAAAAAGGACATTACCAGAGATAATTGATGTCATCTTTTTAAATTATAAGAAAGTACTATCATTTCAATGTATATAAAATTCCAGAGCTAATGAAGTATTTTCTAGAAAATGTACTTCACCAAAATTCATACAACATAATCATGCTTGAGTGAACTAGTAAATAAATGGAAAACTTAAATTCAGCTTAAGCTATAGAACAAGCTAGAACAACAGTCTGCTAGCACAATCTGTTTTAGTTTGATAAAAAATTCAAGCATAAAATTCTTACCAGAATTTTCCTGGCTCATGATACATAGCTGACATAATCCAAACAATAAAACTAGAGAGAATAGTTACTAAAAACCAAAATTTAAATGTGTTCTAATTAAAGAGAAAAATCAAAATGCTAAATAAAATGTCAGCAAAATGATATAATTTTTCAGTAAATATATATGAAATGTGCAGACACTGGAATATTCTGGTTCTATACATATGCAGCTTAAATTATGGAAAAAGAGAATTGCTCCAGTTCTATTCTCGATTCGTTATCATATATATATATATATATATATATATATATATATGTGGCTTTTATATATATATGTTAGCCTTACTATCACTGATATCTCCTGATTTCATCAATGCTAAAAAGCACCACCCAAATCTCATCTTGAATTATAATTCCCACGTGTTGGGGGAGGGACCCTGTGGGAGGTGATTGGATCATGGGGGTGGTTCCCCCATGCTGTTCTCATGATAGTGAGTAAGTTCTCAGGAGATCTGATGGTTTAAAAGTGTTTGGCAGTTCACCACCACCCCCCCAACTCCTACCACCATGTAAGACAT